ATAGATTCCCAGAGGAAGAATCAGGAGGTCAAAGGGGTGAGATGTAATATTTTAGTGACTGAGCCAACCTGCCCTCTGTAAGGAGTGTAAACACCAGTGGATGTAATCAGAGGTGTGTTTCTGCTTGATTGCTAGTACAGTTCATTCTTTCCATTCTACACTCTCAGATGGTGAAAGAGAGATTGGCCCAGTAGGGCAGAAGAGGGAGATAAGCCTGGGCAAGTGGCAGGGAGACAGGCCATAAGGGTCCCTCGGTGCCAGGCAGAGGTGCTGGACGTCCTGAGGACACTGGGGAGCCATGGAGGGTTAGAGGTTAGATCAAGCCATGGACAGATGTGGTCATGTAGAGATGTGGTAGGAAGAGTCATTAAATGGCTCCCTCTCCCTTGGATGGTCCTGAGAGCCCCACCTGGCCCTCATCTCTCAGTTTCCCTCTCACCTACAGGGTGTCTGAGTGGTGGGGCCGGGGCAGACATACCTGTTCTGCTAGGAAAGGCCTGCCTAGACCAGGCCACGCTGCTGCCCCTCCGGCCTAGTGAGCCACATTCTGCGGGTGTGTGACCAGATGGATCCAAGGAAGGCAGGGACAGATCTGGGACAGAGGTGGAAGCCGAGCTCCCTGCCCTCCCAGAGGCCAACCCCCAGTCCCCAGCATTTGGCAAGGCCTGGCCTGTTTTCACTGCTCAGGTAAAGTTCAAAATGTTTAGCAGAATCTTTCTTTCTTTCTTTCTTTCTTTCTTTTTTTTTTTTGGTCAATGCACCTCTCACATCCCATGGTGACATTTTGATTAATATTTATTTATTGGTTTTGGAGGCCAACAATAATCATCATAGAATATTTGAAAAATGCCAAAATGCCCAAGGAATGAAATAAAAATCCCCCGCACTTATCTCCCCTTCCTTCATAACCAATGGTAACTTTTGGGGGGCTTTGTTTCATAATTTTAATGCTAACATACACATATTTATATTTTTATCAGAAAAGCAATCATAGGCGCACCTGGGTGGCTCAGTTGGTTAAATGTCTGCCTTCAGCTTGGGTCATGATTCCAAAGTCCTGGGTTTGAGTCCTGGATCGGGCTCCCTCTCCCTTTGCCCCTCCACCTGCTTGTGCTCTCTCTCTTTCTGTGTCAAACAAATAAAATCGGGGGGAGAAAAAAAGAAGAAAAGCAATCATACTTAGCATGCTCTTTTGTAATCTTTTTGCACTGAATAATTTCCCAAGTATTTTCCCATGACAGATATTCATTTGCAATGTGATTTTTTTTTTAAAGATCTTATTTATTTATTTGAGAGAGAAAAATCACAAGTAGGCAGAGAAGCAGGCAGAGGGGGAGGAGGGAGCAGGCTCCCTGCTGAGCAGAGAGCCCTATGCGGGGCTCGAACCCAGGATCCTGGGATCATGACCTGCGTGCCCCTGCAGTGTGATTTTTTTAAGGGAAAACTTGATTTTATGCATACCAATCTCCATTAATTCCACAAACACTCTTTAAAGCCCCTCAGATAAAAAAGTATCATATTAGGGGCACCTGGATGGCTCAGTCGTTAAGTGTCTGCCTTCAGGTTGGGCATGATCCCATCCTGGGATCGAGCCCCAGATGGGCTTCCTGCTCCGAGGGAAGCCTGTTTCTCCCTCTCCCATTCCGCCTGCTTGTGTTCCCTCTCTCACTGCGTCTGTCTCTGTCAAATAGATAAATAAAATCTTAAAAAAATATATATATTGTATTAACCCTAATGTACGCTGAGCTCTTGGGTTGAACACCTGTTAGCGAAAGCACAAAGCATTTTCAAGTGTGACCTTACTGTTTGAAGTACAAGTATGGAGTCACCTTGCTGAATCAGCCTCTGTACCTTGGGCACCGTAGAGTCCAGACGTCGGAAATCAGGACTCATGCAGCCTCAGCGGACGGTGCATTTCTGCACTGGATTCTGATAACACCAAATTGAGAAAATTCATGATTCGCTATAAAAAGGTCTGTTAGTTCCTGAGCTCTTAGAATGAATGGGGTCCTATGCCCCAAGGCAGGGACTGTTAAAACCCCCGTTTCACAGGGGAGCACACTAGGGCTCAGAGAGAAGCTGGTGAGGCCTCTTTGCCTCCCTTGTTCTCCAAGGAAGAGTCACAGACGAGGTCACTGTGAACTTGCTCATGAGGACACACCTGAATGTAAAAGCAGATTAGGCCGGAATCCCCCTTTTCCTTGCCGCATTTACAAGGCAGTCAAATATGTGCACAGGATCAGGGAGGTTTTCATTCCAGAGCCTGCAGGAAAGCCAGTTAGGTCAGTTAACCCAGAGCAGCTCTTGTGTGTTAAAATACGGTGTGTAGGGGCGCCTGGCTGTTTGACTCGTTTAAGGTGTCTGACTCTTGATTTCGGCTCAGGTCATGATCTCCGGGTGGTGGAATTGAGCCCCATGTCCGGCGCCTTGCTCAGCACAAGTCAGGATACATAACCTTGTTATGTAAGGGCTTGACCCTTGCCCTCTGCTCCTCCCCATGCTCACTTATGCTCTTTCTCTCCCTCTCTCTCTAAAGTAAATAACTAGAGGCGCCTGGGTGGCTCAGTGGGTTAAGCCTCTGCCTTTGGCTCAGTCATGATCTCAGGGTCCTGGAATCGAGCCCCAAGTCGGGCTTTCTGCTCAGCAGGGAGCTTGCTTCCCCAACCCCCCTCCACTTGCCTCTCTGCCTACTTGTGATCTCTCTCCCTGTCAAATAAATAAACAAAATCTTAAAAAAATATATCTATAGATGTGTCAATATAAACTTTTGAAAAGCCAGAAAGGACATTCATCATGTGTTCATCACAATTATTCTAGGGGCTGTTGGACCAGATTTGGGGAGGGGTGGTGATTTACTGGGGAGTGAAATATGGGACACTAACATTTCTAAATTTTTATCTTCTTCAAATAGTAGGGTTATGAATGATTTTGGGGGTTTTTTAAAGTATTTTTTCCTTTCTTTTAAACATTAGGCTAAAAACATTGACCCATTTCTTTAAAAAGACCAGCTCTGAAAATGTATCTACGAATAAAAGTACTGTATGTGGCTTGTAAGTTTTTCTACTCTGCATCTCTTGAAGATTTCTCCATGGTAAAACATTATTTTTTACTACTGTGTGGTATTCCAGACTACAGACATAGCCTAGCTAACCTAACCAGTCCCCTCCAGAGGTTCATTTAGGTCACTGTAATGAACACCCTTATATATACTTTCCAGTTACTTAGACCATTGTGACATCTTTTTGTATTGGCTCACATAGCTCTATCTTCTTTTTAAGCAACAGGGAATCCAGCCCAAGGATAGAACATGAGCTGTACATTCCCTGCTGACGGATGTTTCCAATTCTTCAACCTAACAAAAAACCTCTTTGACCATTATATATATATATATAAAGATTTTATTTATCCATTTGACAGACAGAGATCACAAGTAGGCAGAGAGTCAGGCAGAGAGAGAGAGGAGGAAGCAGGCCCCCTGTTGTGCAGAGAGCCCGATGCAGGGCTCGATCCCAGGACCCTGAGACCATGACCTGAGCTAAAGGCAGAGGCTTTAACCCACTGAGCCACCCAGGCACCCCTGACCATTATATATATTTTTAAAAGTGCATTTAAAGGGGCTCTTGGGTGACTCGGGCAGTTAAGCACCTGCCTTGGCTCAGGTCATGATCCCAGGGTCCTGGGATCGAGTACTGTGTTGGGCTCTTTGCTCAGCTCCCCATTCATGCTTTCTCTCGCTATCTCTGTCTCTGTCTCTCTCTCAAACAAATAAAATCTTTAAAAAAAAATAAACAAAAGTATATTTTTAAAAGCTGATATCTGAATTCAGGGTTTGCAGACCAGTGGAGTAAAGGAGGACTCTGGGAAACGTCATTTGGAGGGGAAGGAAGCCCGGCCCTCTTGGCAGGACCTAACTGCTATAAAATGGACAGAGGTTGGCCTGCTTGAGAGAGGACAACAGTGAGGATAAGATTCCTAGAGTGTTTGCGGCCGTGCATCCGTTAGAGAATTTGCTGGAAGCTACAGCCGTTGGGAGGAGGCTATCTGCCACGTGTACCAGCCCAACAACCCTGCACTCTAATTTTCCTTTGATAAATCACCCCCACTTCCCAACACCATCCTTCACAGCAGTAGTAATTCAGGTACCCTCCCTTCCCCCACCAAAGGATGGGCCTAGACTCTAAGTGAGATTGAATCCTTAACCTTGGCTCAAGCTATTGGGAGAGAGGCGTCTCTTCCTGCTGTGTTGCTTAGTGTAAAGTTGTTAAGTCCGGTGTTGCCAAAGGAATCCTGCCTGAGAATGAAACAGGTTTCCTGGAAACTTCAATTGAACTCCTGGATCTGGATATGCCGGAAGCCAGCAATGTTGTCTCAGTTACACAAGACAAGAAATTCCATGTTATGTTTCAGTCAGTGCCCATTGGGTTTCTGCCACTTCCATTGGAAGAGTTCTTGTTCATTCGCCTTTGCCCCCAAGGAAAACAAATTAATTCATTCAACCAGTATTTATTGAATATTGATGCCCCTCCCTCTGCTGGGTGATATTGAGGACAATAAAGTAACCATGACAGAGCTTGTCCCTCCCCTCATGGCAATCCCATCTACCAGAGTATAAACAATCACAAACTATTTAGCAAAAATGGCAACAACTGCCATGAAGGAGGAGCTACAGGAGAGGCATTGGTGATGGGGTAGTGGGATCCGGGAAAGGTCCCCTGAGAACAGGACTTTAAATTGATGCTGAAAGATGGGCCAGGAATCAGCAGAGTGAAATGAGGTCCCTAAGGGTCCTAAGAGTCCCTGTACACATGTCCAAGGGTTTCAGGGCATCTCCAAATCTCAGCAGGGCTCAGAAAGTTGGTAAAAGGTCTTTGGAGGGAGAGGAAGGAGGGAAGGTTGAGGGAGGTGGGAAGCGGGGAGGTGGGGCAGCCATCAAGCCCTCAGCCAGAGGAAACAGGAACAGGAGGAGGCTGCACGTGCACGTGACCTTCCCTTCTTGCTCCTCACAATGTGGTGTAGAAATACATGGCTATGAGCATCACAGGGAGCTGTACGAGGAGGCAGTCAGGTGAGGGGCGCTCCAGCCCCACACCCACATCCCCCTCTTGCCCATAGGCTCCCGCCTCTCACCGTCCACATCAGGATGGCAAAACCAAACCACGAAATCCCCCATGTGTAGCTGTCGATGGCATGGCCGATGTGCTCAAAGCAGCCCTGGGCAAGGGGAAAAACATGGGAGTTTGAGGAAATGCCCAGTAGGGCTAGCCCTGAGGGAGAGTCACTGTGTGCCTTTCGGAAGATCACCTCCTTCTTCAAGCCTTGGTTTTCTCAGCCGTGCAGTGGGGATTGTGGCAGTGTCTACCTCCCAGAATGGTTTTGGGGAACCAGGGATGTGATGTTGAACCCAGGCCCCACACAAGTAGGTGTGTGGCAGTGGCTATGACAGTCTGAGGGCAGGTTTGTGCAGAGCTGGCTTGCCATGCTGCCCACAGGTGCCCAGGATTGAAATTTGCCTTTACTACGAGCAGTGCAGTTTTGATGCCTCCCTGTTTAGGAATGAGGTCAATGGGACCTGAGCCTCACAACAGAGTCACCCTCAGGTAGACCCCTGCCTCGACTTGGAAGCAGCTGAGAACAAAGTTTCGGGGTGTGCGTCCTGGAGTCAGGCGGGACTGAGTTGGGGGCCAGCTCCATCATTTGTTAGCTGTTGGGGCCTGGGAATGAATCTGGCTCTCTGAGCCTTAGTTTTCCCATCTGGGAGGTGACAATCTTGACAGCACTGGCCTTGAAGGTGGCCGTGGAGCGTCCGTGAATGGACGCATGCGCACACTCTGCGCAGAACTGGGCTTCAGAAATAGCTGTCTGGCTCCGAGGGTGGCGATGGTTGGCGCAGGTTCCCTTCTCCATGACACCGGATCTAAGTCGTATGGTTCCAGGGTCCTGAAGCAGCCAGAGGGATCGCTGGAACCATTTCTTCTCCTAGTCTAACCTCCTCTGGTTTCTCTCTCTGCCTTTGCACTCCCCTTGCCCTGGTTAAATCCCCTAATTGGGGCCTGTCTGCCTGAAATCCAGTCCCAGCTCCATCCCTTACCAGCGAATGAACTCCGCTTCATCATCCTTAAAATGCGATAATTATAAATGCATACCTCACAGGCCGTGGTGGGAATTAACTAAGATGAAGACTTAAAGCCCTTAGAAGAATGCCAGGTACAACTCAAAGGCTCAATGAAAGTTGGTTACTATGGTGGTGGTGCTGTTTCTGTGATTCCTGTTGCTCTCATTCCCAGGCAACCGGAAGAAAAGTTGCAGGTCTGGCTCGGGATCAGACAGACCCTGTGCCTCCCACTGACTTGCAGAGGGAAGAGGGACAGATGGAGAGAGAGTTGAGAGAGCCAGAGAGAGGGGAGAGAACGGAAGAAGCCAGAGGGGGTTGGAGGAGAAGACCGTGGGAGGGAGGAAGAGATAGAAGGACCAGAGGGGGCCAGAACCATGCCGCACAGACAGGGGAGCCGCAGGGAGGGACACACCTTGGTGAACAGGTAGTCTGTGTGGCCCAGGCGGCAGCCTTCTTCATTGAGGGGGATAAAGTTGCCAGTCCGCCGACAGCACAGTGGGGGCCAGGGGAACACCACCTCCGGGGTGGCCGCCCGGAAGGCTGATGTGAAGTTCACCCAGTCCATGGGACCGGATGTGCCACAGCACTCTTGCTGGAGAGAAAAGCAGGGGGTCAGGCAGGCTCTGGCTCCGAGAGGACAGCCATTCGCCTAAGGTCACAGAGTGAGGAAGGTCCCGACTTCCCATGTCCTGGGCCTTGAGGTGGGGGGGCGGGCAGCATCTGTGCTTGTGAACAAGGAGCAAGAGGTATTTATCCCGGCACCAAGGGGCTGGTGGGGGGTTTGAGTCAAACCCACACTCATGACTCATTTTAAAATTCTTTTGAATTAGCTGTCAAAAAAATTTGAGGTAAATGACACCCAAAGAAGGATTTCTGGTTTCTTCTAGCATCTGTATTTAGTTGGTGGCCCTGAATGATGAAAACATAGGCGCCTTCACATATGAGTTCCAATCCTGCCTACAGGTATGATTTGAACCAAATTGGGACCTCAATTTCTCTTGGGTCCTCAATATTCTTCTCTTGTGCCATATCATGTTGGGTTTAATTAAGAATGTGGCTTCTGGGGGCGCCTGGGGGGTGTAGTCAGTTGAACATCTGACTCTTGGTTTCGGCTTGGGTCGTGATGGGTTGTGATCTCAGGGTTGTGGGGTCGGGCCCTGCGTCAACCTCTGCACTTGGCACGGAGTCTGCTTGAGACTCTCTCTCCCATCCCCTCTGCCCTTCCCCACCCCCACACACGTGCATGCTCTCTCACTCAAATAAATATGTGAATGTTTAAAAAAAAATAAATAAATATGTGAATGTTTAAAAAAAAAAAAAAAGGGGACCCCTGGGTGGCTCAGTAGGTTAAAGCCTCTGCCTTTGGCTCAGGTCATGATCCCAGGACCCTAGGATCGAGCCCCACATCGGGCTTTCTGCTCAGCAGGGAGCCTGCTTCCTCCTTTCTCTCTGCCTGCCTCTCTGTGATCTCTGTCTGTCAAAGAAATAAATAAAATCTTTTTTAAAAAAAAAAAAGAGAGAGAGAGAGAGAGAGAATGTGGCTTCTGGAAGCTGGTGGCCTGGGTTTGAATCCTTCTGGTTCTATGACCTACCAGCTGTGTGACCTTGTGGAAGCCACTCAACCTCTTACCTTGATTTCTTCATGGCTGGAAAGCTGATCTCCCTTATGGTGGCTGTGTGAATTAAATAAGCTTTAAAAGTGCTTCTAACAGGGGCGCCTGGGTGGCTCAGTGGATTAAGCCTCTGTCTTTGGCTCAGGTCATGATCTCAGGGTCCTGGGATCGAGCCCCACATCGGGCTTTCTGTTCAGCAGGGAGCCTGCTCCCCCCCCCACCGCCTCTCTGCCTACTTGTGATCTCTATAAAATAAATAAATAAAATCTTTAAAAAAAAAAGTGCTTCTAACAGTACTCAAAGTTAGTGCTCATTAAATGTTCCTTATTATGATTATCCTCCTTATTAAGAAGGTATCTATAACGGCCAAGAGCAGGGGCTCTGGATCCAGGCTGGCAGACTCTGATCCCAGCTTACCAACCACGTGACACCAGGTGACATTCCCTTTTCTGGGCCTGTCTAGTCACCTGGAAAATGGCCATGACCAATCCTGTTCTCCAGAAGAACCACAGGAGTGGGTATCATCTATCAGTGGGCATAAGGGGAGGTGCCTATATACCTCTGTGGTCAGAGCCCCATTCCTCCAGCCCTTCCTACCCCCTCACCTCCTTGCCCCGCCTTGTCTACCTCAATCATGACGCGGTCCCAGAGGCGAGTCAGTTCCTGGCCCTGGTCAGTGTCTGCACTGTAGAAGGTCAGCATCTGCTTGGTAATCAGGGATGGGTTGGACACCATCTGTGGAGGTCCAGGAAGAACAGGGTCCAGTGGGGCTAGTGGAGAGCGAGGTCGACCACCACTCCACCCGCAGACCCAGACCCGGACCCTTGCCATTCTTGTCCCAAGTCACACCCCTCCCCTGGCCTCTGCCCAGCTCACATAGTCGTGGTGAGTGTAGGACGTGATGCAGGAGGCACACTCGAAGATGTAGACAATGAGCATGAGCACCAGGTACTGGGGAGAGATGGAGGGAGAGACAGAGGCACCACCCAGTCAGGGCAAAGCCTGCCAAGTCACACCCCCTCAAGGGATTGTCTTTTATTTTTTAATTTCATTCATTTATTTTGACAGAGAGAGATCACAAGTAGGCAGAGAGCCAGGCAGAGAGGGAAGGGGAAGCAGGCTCCCTGATGAGCAGAGAGCCCGATGCGGGGCTCCATCCCAGGACCCTGAGACCATGACCTGAGCTGAAGGCAGAGGCTTCAACCCACTGAGCTACCCAGCCGTGCCCCCCACTCCCACCCCGCTGAGGGATTTTAAAAAGAAGTTCAGGACAATGTGACCAGTAGCATCTAGGTGGTGGGTGTACAAGCATTCCCTAGTCAAGTCTTTCACCTTTCCTGTATGTTTAAGTTTTTTAATAATAAAATGTTAGTAAAAAATTAAATCAGGGGCGCCTGGGTGGTTTGATGGGTTAAGCCTCTGGGTTTGGCTCAGGTCATGATCTCAGGGTCCTGGGATCGAGCCCCACATTGGGCTCTCTGCTCAAGGGGAGCCTGCTCCCCCCACCCCTGCCTGCCTCTCTGCCTACTTGTGATCTCTCTCTGTCAAGTAAATAAATAAAATATTTTAAAAAATGATATCAACAAAAATATGTAAAGTATTGCCTGAAATTAACTATCAGTCTGGGCACAGTAAAATAAATGTCTACTACAGGAAAAACAAAACAAAACAGACATTCTTGAGACAACCTGAGGCATTTGAACAGAGACTAGATATTGAATTTGTAGGGCGTACTCGTGGCACGGTTGTTGTGCATAAAAAGAAAAAAAAAGCACTTTCCTCACACCTCACCTTCTCCCTTAAAGCAACAGGGGGTGGAATGTGGATACGCCAACACCTTTGCCAAGAGATGAGCGGCACAACATGCCTGACTGCTCTCAACAACGTCCTTAGCGCTCAGAGAAACGTGCACTCAAGTACTTACAGGTAAATGACTTGGTGTCTGGAATGCACTTCAAAATACCCCAGGAAGAAGGATGTGGGCAGGCAGAGGGTGAAGCCGAGGGAAACTGGCTGGCCAGGCTGTGGTCAATATTGTTGAAACTAGGTGATGGGTATGTGGGGTTCATGCCATTCACCGCACGCAATGTTTGAAATTTCCCATAATAATTTTTTTAAAAAATTCATGTCTTAGTTAATGAAAAACTAATAAGGGAGTAAGACACAGACAGAAACTTTTTTTTTTTTTAACCGGTTGGCTGAGCTTTTAGGGCTTCAGGTAAATTGTTATGTCAGAGAATTACATGCAGGAAAGAAAGCAAAAGAGAAGGAAAAGAGCCTTTCCAAGGCTCCATCTTACTCACAAGAAAGCCAAAGTCCTTACCAAGGCTGGCAAGACTCAACTGATAGGCCCACTTCCCCTTTCTCACCCCCATTCTCCATGCCCATCGCCCATAGTACCTCCCTTCTCTGACCCCTTACTGCCTCTCCCACACCCCACTCCCTCTTGGTTCCAGCCACACTGGACTCCTGGCCCCCTCTTGCTGTTCCCTCCCACAGAAAAGCACACCCCCTCACCTCCCCGAGGCCTCCCCTCCCCTTTCCCAGCTCCAGACCTTCCTTCCATCCTTACTGTCCACTGTCCCCCCATTGGGGGCGCCCTCCCCTTAGGGCTTTCCTATTTTCTCTCTAGATAGCCAAAGTGCCCAGCGCAGGACTGGGCCCACGGTTCTCACTCCATCCACATTTGTTGATGGAATAACCCGCTGCTCCCAGGAATCTAAGAGGCCCTCGGCTGTGGAGGCAGCACAATGTTGTCTCTATGTCGGGGGTGCTGGGATCGGAGCTCCTGCCTTCCCTATCACCTGGGCTATTGGCCTCTTTGAGCCCCCGTTTTCCTGTCTGGTAAACGGGCAGAGAAGCACTAACTCCAGACGGGGACTGGGGACACTGAGGGAGCTCATTTTCTAAACGGCTTTGCCTAGTGCCAGGCACAGGAGCGTTCCTTGGGAAGCCTGGGTTCTTGTGGTGGCGGTTATCACTGGTGGAAATTAAGAGCAAGGCTCAAGCTGAAGTGCTCAGGTTTCAATCCTGACTCTGTCACCCACCTGCTCTGCAACCTCGGATAAGTGACTTCACTTCTCTGAGCCTCCGTTTCAACTCTGTCAAATGTGCTCACCATAATGATGGGATCTCCTGGTGGGTTGTAAGGAGTAAATGCACCCATCTATGCAAAGCATTTAGAACATAATAAGTGCTCCCAAAATGGCAGCCATGCTATTGTTGTGGTTGTTTTGACAGAGCTCATGTGCACAGATTCTGGGGACCAACTAGTTGAGATTTCGCATCTCCGTCCTGCCACTCAAGAGCCGTTCTCCCGGGCAGAGCTCCCTTCCCTTCCTCTCTGTGCCCCAGTTTTCTCTGGAGATTGAGGGTAATGGCTGAGCCTGTGTTATAGGGTTATGGGAAGATTAAATAGAATGGTTGCCACGAGGCCCAAGTGTGGTGCATACTGGATACACACTCAGGGCTCGGTGGCCATGGTTACAGTGACTCTGTGGAGACAATCTCCGTGCCTGCCCGGCCCCATGCCCTCCCCCCCCCCGGGGGCCTCACCGTGAGGATCATGGACCGGCGGTGGCAGAGTGCTGCACCCACCCCAAAGCTGGCCACCACGAAGAAGGAGAAGCCACAGAAGATGGCGATCCAGGCGCCGGCGAAGACGTCATCCTTGCCCGAGACACCCGTCAGTGGGTACACGCGGTACTGGTCAGCTGTCACCCACACTGTCTCGGCAAACAGGGCCAGGCCTGACAGCTGGACAGGGCAGCAGGTTAGAGAGGACACAGCAGGTGGGGCCGCAGGACTGTCTCTGAGCAGGTTCCCCTTCTGAGCCTCCGCTGCCCTCGGCAAGGTGGGCACATGCGAATGGCAAGGATGTCGCCTTCCATGACCAGGGATGGGCTGGACAGAGGCCAGAAGGGAAGGGCTGCCCGGCTAGATCCCTGCTCCTCCTCCCCCAGCCGCCCCCACCCCCTCCAACGCCCGAGCTGCCGGATGCTTCAAGGATGCCGGGAGATGCCACATGCGAAGCCCAGAGTGCATGACAGGAACAGAGGAGATGCCCCTGGCCTCCCTCAAACAGTGTTGTTATTCCCGAGTGGGGGAACCTGCCCAGGCCCAGAGCAACTACAAGTGCATCATCCCTTTGACCCAGCAATGCTGCCTGCAGAAATCAGTCCTGTCTGTGCAGGAAAATCATAAACCCGCGAAGTTATTCTCTGCATCCCAGTGTCACAGGCACCGGCGTGCCGCACAGGGAGTGCTCTGCTGGGTGGAAGAGGGCAGGGCGGCTCTCTGAGGACTCCCGTGGAGTGGCCTATGGACTATGTGAGCAGGAAAAACGGGGAAGCACAAAACAGGATGTAGAATGAACTACCGTTTGGACAAAAAAGGAAGAAAATAGCTATATATGCTATTTGTATGCGCTTAAAGAAATGTTGGAGAAACTAAAAATCTAGTACCTATAGGAATGAGAGATGGGAGCAAGGAGAGGGGAAGGCCTCTCAGAGGATACCTTTGACCCCAATCAAGCTAACACTCACAGAGCGCGTGGTGTGCATGCTCCTCGGTAGTCCTAGTAACAGCTGTGTGACGGTCCTTGTTACCGCTGCAGGGCACGACCGTTGCTGTGGCCGACACAGACAGTAGCCGCACGTGCAGCTACTCAGACTCTGGTCTGAGCCCAAGAATCCAGTAACTCATCCTCCCGGCATTCCTATTTTCAGAGAACTAGTGGCTTGCTCCCACTTACAAAGCTGGGGATTGGCAGAGCTGGGATTAGAATCCAGGTTTCTCTGACAGCTGGTGGCATTGGCCATGGCAGGGGGCCCTCAGTCCCCACTCCCAGGCCTGGGCTGTCCCCTCCTCCCCACCCACCCACTGGGCTCCTGGCACTGGGGGAAGTCTCACCAGAATAATGATGTTGCCCACCACCAGCAGGCCCACCACAGCCGGAGACCCCTTCTCCGTCTCTGTTGCCGCAGATGCCATAGTTCTCCTGGGACACATGAGCCCGAATAAGGTCAGGCAGAGGCCAGGCATGCAGGGCAGCCCCAGCTGGAGCCACTGCCCTCCCTCCACACCCCAGCTGCCGGGGATGCTCCTGGTCTCTGCTAGGCCCAGAATCCTCCCACAAACCCTGATGGTGTGCCACCTTACAGGAGAGGGAACCAAGGCTCAGGCAGGGCAGTCACTGGCCAGAGCTCAGTGTTGGCTTCCCTGCACCTCCGAGCTTCCCAGTTCCCCCCTGCTCATCCAGACCCCCAGAGCCCCCTCCTCACCTTCTCTTTCCGAAGCCTCTGTGGCTAGCTTCTCCCACAGTGGCTCCCTATATATGCCCAGGCCCCTCCTCGGGCCAGTCTCCAGGAAGGCAGAAGGTGTCTGGAGGGGACAAGAGGTCAAGCAGGCCGACCAGCATAGGAGAACAGTTTTATGAGCACCCCCGCCCCCCCCCACCCAAGTGATTTATAGACCTGAAATTCAAGATTGGGCTAAGGTCTGGCTGCATAGCAGGGTGACGTGCCCAAGGCTTCCTGCTCCCAGGCTGCTGTGGTGGGAGTGGGTGAGGGGAGTTCCAGATGAGTGAATAAGGCAGGGTGGGGGAGGGGAGAAGAGAGTGTGCTAGAAACTGAGAGAAGGCACACAGAATAGGCTTGGTGGGAGAAAAGTACACTCTCCCTTCCCCCCCCCCCCCCCCTTCCCCCCCCCCCACCCCCCCCCCCCCCACCACACACAGACAAAGCAGGGTCACAGTGAGGAGCCATAGGCGGAAATGTCTTCAGGCTACAGAATCAAGGAGACCAAGGTTGAAATCCCAGTTCTGCCTCCTCTGGGCTGAGTAACTTGGTATGTGTGTTTGCCCATTAGCAGAATGGGTATCATCAGACGACTCGCCTCAGCAGCAGTGGGAACTGAGCACAGGGATGTCTGCAAAGGATGTCCTCTGGCCTGGTGTACAGCAAGAGGCCAGGCTGCATCAGCAAGGCTCCTGAGGGGCCCACTTTCCCTCCGATGGTTCCCCCTAGCGTCACAAGGCTGGTTCCTCAGGTGAAAATGGCTTGGGGCACCCAGTCCTCCCCCAGAACTTCTCAAGAACCAAGGCACTGACTGTGTTTTCTTTCTGAGCTGTAGCTCCCTCAGTGCATGTGAAATGGACAAACAAATGGAACTTAAAATTGCGGTGTTAAGACAATGGCTTGATAAAAAAACACATGAGATGTGTTCTGATTAAAATTAAAATGAGTAATTTGGTTTTTAGTCAATCTGCTTTACATTTAAAATAGTCTTTCTCTATTGATTTACATTTATATTAAGGATTAATAAGAAAATTTAAATAATAACATACATGATCTGTCAAGTACATTTTATGAGGTTTAGCTAAAATAACTTGGTAATAATAGGGCTATGCTAACAATATGAAATATTTTTTACTTTCAAATAGTTGGTAACTGTTAGTAGTTGGAAGTTATATAAAATGACTCAGTCTTTTGGCTAAGATCAAGTGTAAACCGTCTGGTAGAAGGAAAAAGTTATCATCAATGGGGCATTACCGTCATCTGTCATAAAAGGGATCGATTTTGTTCTAATGTGATGTCAAAGCCTTCTTTAGCTTTTTTTAGTTAGTTAGTTTTTTTCTTTTTTATAGATTTTACTTATTTATTTGAGAGAGACACAGAGAGAGGGGTGGGGGAGAAGCAGACTCCCTGCTGAGTAGAGAGCCCGATGTGGGACTCGATCCCATGACCTGAGCTGAAGGCTAACACTTAACCAACTGAGTCACCCAGGCACCCCTGTTCTAGTTCGATGTCAGACTTGAAATTTCACAATTCCTGCGGCATCTGGGTGGCTCAGTGGGTTAAAGTCTCTGCCTTCGGCTCGGGTCATGATCCCAGGGTCCTGGGATTGAGGCCCACATCAGGCTCGCTGCTTGGCAGGGAGCCTGCTTCCCTTCCTCTCTCTCTGCCTGCCTCTGCCTACTTGTGATCTCTGTCTGTCAAATAAATAAATAAATAAAATTAAAAAAAAAAAAGAAATTTCACAATTCCTTTTCATTATATAAGCCAGTCTTCAAACAATACATTTTGGAGTGCTAATTACCTCCTTTAAAAAATCACAAGGCTGGGATGCCTGGGTGGCTCGGTCAGTTAGGCATCCAACTCTTAATTTTGGCTCAGATCATGATCTTGGGGTTGTGGGATTGAGGCCCCCACCCCACTTGCTTGCTCTCTCTCTAAAGAAAAAAAAATCACAATGCCAAGATCTCCTAAAGGACGTATGCCTCTCCTATGACTATCCTATGATCCAGCCATTTGTCCCTGGGAATTCCATTTCTGTCTATCAAATGCTCTGAATGTATTCATATTAGTCCCAAGCTGGAAGCCACCCAAATGTTCCTTCCCAGTAGAGTGGGTAAGTACATTACAGTATAGGCATACAAGGGATACTATTCAGCAATAAAAGGCAATGAACTACTGGTATCTGCAACTACAGAGATGAATTTCAAAAGCATTACAGTAATCGAGAAAAGCCATACCCAAAAGACTGTCACTGTAGGATTCTAGATATGAAGTTCAAAAACAGGCAAAACCAATCTAGGGGGATAAACGACAGGGGAGTGGTTACCCTCGGGGGCATTGTGACTAGAAGGGACAGGGAGGGGATTTCTCTTTCTGGGCTTGGACACTGGTTACACATGGGGTGCTCAGATTTTGAAAATCTGTCCAGCCGTATGGTCTCGATAAGCGCATTTTTCTGTGTATACATATATATATATTTTAAGATTTTATTTATTTATTTGACAGAGATCACAAGTAGGCAGAGAGGCAGGCAGAGAGAGAGAGTGGAGGAAGCAGGCTCCCCGCTGAGCAGAGAGCCTGATGCGGGGCTCGATCCCAGGACCCCGGGATCACGACGTGAGCCGAAGGCAGAGGCTTTAACCCACTGAGCCACCCAGGCGCCCCTACGTATATATTCCTAATTGCAATGTGTTCTAGAGGGTAAAACCTTTTCAAAGAAACACATTTGATGTGTCAAAGGGGTGTTTTCCAAAGGTGCACAAGAGCTGATTTTAGGCTGTCTATGGGCTTGAAAGGAAATGGTATGAACCCATGTAACTAACATCTAATGGAAAAATGATCTAGTTCTAATCCTGATGGTGCCATCGCGAAAGTCTCAATAGTCTGATGCCGTGACCTAAACACCTGTCACCTTGCTTAGAGCAGGTTCCAAAAGGCCTCGATGTCTGAGTAGAATTGAATAATATATATTTTCATTGTATTTTTTTAAAAGTCTGATTCATTTATTTTATTTTTTTAAAGATTTTTTTATTTATTTGACAGACAGAGATCACAAGTAGGCAGAGAGGTAGGCAGAGAGAGGAGGAAGCAGGCTCCCTGCTGAGCAGAGAGCCCGATGTGGGGCTCAATCCCAGGTCCCTGAGATCATGACCTGAGCCGAAGGCAGAGGCTTTAACCCACTGAGTCACCCAGGCACCCCTCATTGTATTTATTTTTAAGACATTTTCTTTCCCATGGTCAGTGGTGTAATCTAAAAATATTGATATATTTCAAATATACAAGACAATGTAGAAAATACCTGTAACAAACACCGACATCCTACCAGCTTTGTCAAATGTACATATTTTTCTATACTCACTGAAGATTGTTGTTGTTTTAAGTGGCATACATGGCAGATGCCTTTGAAGCCACCTGATCTCACCTAAGGTACCTTTATTACTACATTTGAGGCTCATCACCCTCCACAACCCTTGCACTGTCTTCTTTTTCAGATCCCAGATGTCATGGGTTAATTCCATACCCTCAGCTCATTATTTCCCACAAGATGGTTCTGTTTTTGTTTTAAGATTTTATTTATTTGACAGAGAGAAATGGAACACAAGTAGGAGGAGGGGAAGAGGGAGAAGCAGGCTTAATGCTGAGTAGGGAGCCCCATGCCGGGCTGGATCCCAGGACCCTGGGATCATGACCTGAGCTGAAAGGAGATGCTTAACCAACTGAGCCACCCAGGCACCCCATGATATCTCATTTTAAGGTGTTGTTTTTTTTTTTTTATAAGAGGTGTTCCAAAAACATCCACACATTTTTTTTTTATTTATCTGAGAGAGAGACAGTGAGAGAGAGCATGAGAGGCAAGAAGGTCAGAGGGAGAAGCAGACTCCCCACAGAGGTGGGAGTCCGATGCGGGACTCGATCCCTGGGTTCCGGGATCATGACCTGAGCTGAAGGCAGTCGCTTAACCAACTGAGCCACCCAGCTGCCCTCTCAGTTTTTAAATTTAACTCATTCCCTTGTATCCCCATATCCCAGTTGCTTTCAGTGCCCTCTACTGACAAATACTCTAATTAGTCCGCATGTATCTTTTTAGTTGGGTGTGCTCTTGTAAAATGGATACCATTGTTTTCGATTTTTTCTTTTTGTTATTTTCTTTTTTGTTGTTAAGATTTACTTATTTATTCTTGGGGCTGGGGAGGGACAGCATCACAAGCAGACATGGGGCTTGATATCATGACCCTGGTATCAGGACCTGAGAGGAAACCAAGAGTGGGACAGTTAACCAGTTAACCGACTGTGCCACCCAGGTGCCCCACCTGCGGGTTGTCTGATTTACATACCCGTGACTGTGTTCGTACTTTTCTCACTTGGCACAGATTTTAGGGTCCACCCACTACTCTGGACACACTGAGTCTGCAGCTTCTCATGGTTGCATGAGGCACCTCTCATACACCCCCTCCAGTTTACTGTTTCCTCCCTGGTGAGGACACTTAGGCTCCTTCTGACCCCCTCCCCCCACCACTGTAAATAGTGCTGCTGTGAGCACCCGCGTGCATGGCTCTCACATACTTCCGGGTCTCTTTCCAGGGAGTATTGCTGGTCATGAATGTGTATGTACCAGGTTGCTTTCCATATTCCGACCGAGAGCTCCTGTACCCTTCCTTCACCACTCGCGCTTGGCGTTACCCAGCTTTCTCGTTTTTGTCAGAGTAATTCCATGTAAAGTGATACCTACCATGATTTCAATTCTCAATTCTCTTATTACTAATGATTTTGAGCATCTTTGCAAATGTCTGTGAGCCTTTTGGGTTCCCACTGTCATGCATGCTTTCATATTTTTAATATATACGCATATATTCATCAACACATAGAATAGTTCTCGATTTTCAGGTAAATTCTATATAAAGTATATCTTAGATATCCTCATGCAATTGATTTTCACCTCAACATTATGTTTTTGAAAATTTACTCATCACATATTGTGGCTCTAGTTCATCCATTTTTTTTTAAAGATTTTATTTATTTATTTGACAGAAATCACAAGCAGGCAGAGAGGCAAGCAGAGAGAGAGAGGAGGAAGCAGGCTCCCCGCTGCGCAGAGCCTGATTCGGGGCTCAATCCTAGGACCCCGAGACCATGACCCGAGCCGAAGGCAGAGGCTTTAACCCACTGAGCCATCTAGGCGCCCCTAGTTCATCCATTTTTTATAACAATACTTCATAGGTTGTTTCCTTTCCAAATTCATTTTGGCAAAGACGCTATGGAACAATGGCAGCACAAAGGTCCGCAGGCCTAGCGACAGTCTGAAGCCTGAAGGTGGGCACTAAGGTAATGAGCAAATTTAAGTCTCAGGTGCTCCTTGGCTCAGCTGAGCAGTGAAGGGCCTCAAAGGCATGGGTGGGCATGGATGGGCATGGGAGACCTTCCAAGAAAAGGGGACTTTGGAGCTGGGTGGGGCCAGCGTGAAGTGTGGGATGAGGAGGAGAGAGGAAAGAGAGAAGGCGGGGGGAGACTAGGATGTGGTGTGAGACAAAGCAAGGAGGAAGGCGCTTCGGTGGAGTAGTCAAAGGAGCTTTTCAGCTTGTTCTCAAATTCACTGAGCACCAAGTACGTGATCAGGCCAGAACTAAGCCTCAAGGACAGGGTCCAGCTGATGAGTTTCCCAGGCCCTGCCCTGTGTGGGGCCGAGCTGAGAAAACAGCAGTGATCAGGACAGCTCAGTTCCCATCCTCACAGGCAGACAAGACATTCAGCAGAGAATGACAGGCCGGCATGCTCAGGGAGATGCCGAAGGGACCCAGGCACTGAGAGAGGAAGCACAGGCCAGGGCCACAGGGGGGCAAACAAAAGGGAGATGTGTGCACCCCAGGGAGGTGTAGGAAGGAAGGGGTGTTGGAGAAGGAGACTGAAGCATGTAAAAGGGAGTAGAGAACATTCCTAACAGAAGAACACAATATACACATACAATGGAGTATGATTCAGCCTTAGAAAAGGAGATCTTGTGGTATGTGACAACACGGAGGAAACTTGCAGACCTGATGCTAAGTGAAATCAGCCAGTCTCACAAGGACAAAGAGTACACAATTCCATTTACATGAGGTATAATCTATAACAGTGAAACCCATTAGAGCAGAGAGCAGTATGGTGGCTGCCAGTGCTGGGAGTGGGGGGAGAGGAAATGGGGAATTGATGATCTGATCTGCTTATATGATCGCCAGGTACAAAGGTTCAGTTACGCAAGATGCAGAGGTTCTAGAGAGTGAAACGTTGTATCTACAGTTAACAATACTGTATTACAGGCTAAAAATCTATTAAGAAAGGAGATCCCCTGTTAGGACTTCTCACCATGGTAATAGCAGTAGGAAAAGACATTTAGAAGGAATATTTCCTCATTATGTCCACACTCTAGAAAGGAGACCAATGTGCTGAGAGCAGCTAATATTTAAAGAGCATTTCCAACACACCCGGCATTGTTCTGAAGACCCCACATATAGCATCAGGCACTAGTCTACCGACCTAACATGTAGCATCTCATTTAACCTGTACAATGGCCCTACGTAGGTGTCATTAATTTCATTTTATAGATGAGGAAACTGAGACATAGAGAGGTCAAGCAACTTGCTCAGAGTCTCACAGCTGGTAAGTGGTAGAGCCTGAATTTGAACCCATGTGGTCTGGCTCCAGTCTCTGTCCCCTTAACCACTACATTGTTTCTCTGTGGGTATACTGCCTTGCTGGAGTATTTTCCTTTTGTTTTGGGGTTTTGGTTTCTTTTTTTTTGGTTTGTTTTTGTTTTTAATCGGAAGAGTATATTCATTCATTAATTGTACAATCTGGAAAAGCTTAAGATACGAGATTGACAAGGCATGATCTTTAATACTATTAGTAATGGAGAAAAGCAAGTTCAGAACATCAGGAATAGCAGGCTATGATGGTGGACGGGCAGGTAGGAGGGAAGGTCTCCTTGCAAAAGGATAAACTATTTTCAGAAGGAGATGCAGGAAACCAGTAATGGCAGTCCCTTCTCATGGCTAGAAGAGCTGAGGAAGAAACACATTATACCTACATAGTTTCTGCACCTTTGAGAAGGCTGAGAGTGATGTATCCAATGGTGAAACAGTTCTTCTACCCTTTCTCCCAAAGAACGATTTTGAAAACCGCCCATGGACAAGAGCAGCTCTGTGGGAACCCAGGGAGTCCAGCAGAGAAGCTCCCTCACACCTCCGGCACAAAACCCCCAAGACCGAATGTGTTGAAGAGAAATTCTATACAACTAAAAGCCAGGAAGCAGCTGGGAGAGTGGCAGTTGGGGTCTTGGAAGCAGCAAAAAGCACTTGGATCCTACTAAATACACCGCAGACACAGGGGGATTGCCCATGCCTTGCCTGTGGACTCCCTCAACTGATCCATGGGCATGCTACTGCTCTGCGTGCCTCACCTGTACACCCAGACCCATTTCGTGGCTGGCTCCCTGCAAATGCCTCTGTGGGTTGGGAGAGCGCATTTCTGAAGGTGGCTAGTAAGCATGTGCAGAGCCGGCTGACTCCGTGGCACTGGGAGAAGGCATGCACACTTGAGCAAGCAACACAACCCAAGGGAAAGGAAACGGGAAGCAGTCCATGCTTGGTCTGGCTTTGCAGGATCAGGAGGAGACATATCATCCCAAAAAGCACCATACCCTGCAAGGGAACAAGAAGTATGGAGCAGGTGTATCCATAGAGCAGGCCTGAGAAAGCCTCAGAATCCCCAGTAAAGCTGATGGAAGGTATTGCTCGCCTGAAGCCAGTAAGACTGGATAAGGTGACTGCGCCTACTAATGCGAACACAACGCCAGACATCAAGGAACAGGAAAAATCAAGGAAACAGAACACTACTGGAGGACACCATAATTTTCCAGTAACTGACCCCAAAGGGTATATGAGATTTGCTTGATAAAGAGTTCAAAATAGTTGTTTAGGGGGCGCCTGGATGGCTCAGTCAGTTAAGCATCTGCCTTCAGCTCAGGTCATGACCTAACCCCAGGGGTCCTAGGATCAAGCCCCACATCTGGCTCTCTGCTCAGTGGGGACCCTGCTTCTCCCTTTCCCTCTGCCTGCTGCTTTGCCTACTTATGTTGTCAAATAAATAAATAATCTTAAAAAAAACCCCTCCTTATAGTAAAAATTTATCAATTTTTTTTTTTTCAAAGATTTTATTTATTTGTCAGAGAGAGAGGGAGAGAGAGCAAGCACAGGCAGACAGAATGGCAGGCAGAGGCAGAGGGAGAAGCAGGCTCTCCGCCGAGCAAGGAGCCCGATGTGGGACTCGATCCCAGGATGCTGGGATCATGACCTGAGCCGAAGGCAGCTGCTCAACCAACTGAGCCACCCAGGCGTCCCAAAATTTATCAATTTCTTAGACGTAACAGTGAAGTGTAATTATGTACAAAATAAACCTGTAACTCTAAGAGACACACATACTTATTTCTGGATGACATGTGATCCCCAGGCTTTGCTTTAGAATCACCTAGAGGGGGAGGGCAATAATTAGAGATAAAACTGGCCATTTGTTGGTAACCATTCAAGCTAGGTGATGAGTACACAGAATTTTTATTATACTCTTTTTGTGTGGTTCAAAAATTACACAAGAAAAGTTTTTTGAAATTGTGTAAATAAAGAGGAACATACAGATAAATTTCAGCACATCCAGGGGTTTGAGACTATTCTCTCGCTCACTCTAGTGTCTGGTATAGATAAGGTGGTCAGTTTAATAACATGAAACAAAACAAAACAGAAAAAAACCAATCAGCCTGAAGCCCCTCTTACTGGTCAAGGTATTAATTCCCACCACAGCTTCATGCCCGATCACCTGGCTCTTTTACACATACGCAGTCTTACACTTTTCCAACGAATATTTATTATTAGTTAGGCCATGATTCAGAATCCCAGGGTGGGGATCACCATGCATCCAGGTCCCCCTTCACCACCCTGGGAGAAGGACGGAGGACAGAGGAGACGTGGGCGGAGCCAGTTCAGATCTTCCCAGGAAATGTGCCTTCTGCCCGGCGGTCGTCCCAGGCCGACACCTGAGGAAAAACAGCCAGTGTTACTTCCTTCCTCTGTGGGGAAACCAGACGGGTGAACCCTGTCTTCCTAACTTTGCCCACCTGTTCAGATGGTCAACAAGGAAGGCCAGTACTGCCATTGTTCCAGGAGTGAGAGAATCAGCAGTGACCCAGAAAGAGAAGAATCACTGTCCACTAACTGACACACTGAGGGGGTAGGGCATTGGAGGGGGCGAGTAACAAGCAGAAAAGTCCCACATTCACTGTAGGGCTGTCCTTAGGGAGATGCAGGACTGTACAGAGAGAGATTCAAGAGTGTGGCTGTACCCTGTTTCGGGAACCCCCGAGTCAACACTCAATGATGTTTGGCAGAACAGAGGAAAGAAGAAATACCAGGCAGCTGTGAGGGGGGGGACAAAAAAGGCTGATCTATGCTCCAGCACAAATGGATCTCCAAGATGTACAGTCAAGTGCAAAAAGATGCAAAACTGAATAGAGAGTATGATCCTACCGCTGATCACTATGTATGCACACATATAAACAATGATGGAAAAGCCCGTATCCAACCATTAACACTCCCCAGAAGAAACACTCGGCAACTTGTGGACCCTTGTACAGGCAGCCAGAAGCATATCCATTTAGACACACCCACTCACATTTACACGACTACATTAGAGGCAGTAGACAAAAGCATGGATAAGAAAAACTGACTGAATCCCCGCCCCATCACTTCCTAGCTCTACGACCTTGGGCAAATTCCTCAACCTTTCAGGGCCTGAGTTTTCAATTGTGTAAAATAAGAATAGTGAAAATGGTATCCATCTCATCCCATTTTTTTAGCATGTTTGCCCTTATAGGATAGAAAATGCTTACAAAGTAGCTGGCTCACAGTTAAGTGTCTATTTACACACACATATACACAGGCACGAACGCACACACACACATCACGGATTCGCTCTACTCTGAAAAACATGTACACAAGCTGGGCCATACTATGTAGCTGGTCCTGCTACTGCCTTTCCCCCACGTCTTAGAGCGCCTTCTGTATTCGGTCACAGAGATCAAGATAAGTGTACCACCATTTATCTAACTTGGGCTGTTTCTGAATGTTCCTCATTACAAACAACTCTGCTATGGACACATCCTTGGACACAAGCATCTTCATAGGACGTCTACATGTAAAACTGCCACATCTGGAGAGGTTTTCTTTTTTTCCATTTTGAAAGATCCTGCCAAAATGACAGCAATTTATAGAACCACTAACATTTAGCACAGTCAACCTTCATAATTCTTGCACCAGACTGCAAGGTAAAAATAAGCATCTCTCTGTTGTTTTAAGCTGTCTTGTCCTGATGACTTCAATGTGGACGGACATCTTTTCATGCCTGGGGTCCCCTGGAGTCCCTAGCATTGGAATTGTACTGTCCACAGTCCAGAGTTTTCTGTGTGAATTTCTCATTCGCTGGGTTTACCTCTTTGGCTCTTTTTAAAGAGTCAGGCTGCTCTGATCCATATTTCCCTTTGCCCAATAATCCCACTTCATGGGGTGGAAGCTCAGGAAACCATTCCAATAGAGGGGAAAACATTTCCTGCAATGGAATCGTACACTAAAGTGTCACTTAAAAAAATTGAAAAAAAAAGGGGCGCCTGTGTGGCTCAGTCAGTTAAGCCTCTGACTCTTGGTCATGACCACAGGGTCCTGGGATCAAGCCCTTTATCAGGTCCCCTGGTGGGAACTCAGCAGGGAATCAGCTTCTCCTTCTGCCCCTTCTCCTGCTGGTGTTCTCTCTCAAATTTAAAAAAAAAAAAAAAATCTTAAAAAAGATTTTTTAATTCTTACTTCACCAAGTTTTTGAAATAAAGAAGCCAGGGCAGCCAGTACAAAGGGGACTGCAGAATACATTTGTAAGCCCTAACAATGGGGACACTGCGGGCACTGGAGGGTAGGAACCAAACAATCTGATCCTCCCAAGGCAAGGACAGGCCCAGGTCCCGGAGAATGGGGTGTAGGGCAGCACTGGGACTAGAAGCATGCTTGCTGGCATCCAGCCCAGCACGCACCCGATGCGGGCTCTGAGGCTGGAGGAGGGATGTTATGTACTTACAACATCAGGTTACTCAAGATCACCCAGGGACAAGGGGAAATCCTGGAAGGGCACAGGGCACTTAAAGACACTTGAGACAGTGTGGCCAGAGAGGGGGAGGAAAACCAGGCAAGCTGAGGGAGACTGCATTAAAGCAGTTTGTTCTCAAGAAATAAGCTCCAAAGGCACATATCAAGGATGCTTCAAATATACTGAAAAAAATCAGATCATCATCTCTATCAAAAGGAAATCAGCTAAATAAAAGCACATGGAAGTTACTAAAGCAAGTAAGGCAGGCCTAAAGGCTCCATGACACACTGGTAAGTCAAAGTAGTCAAAGACTATACAGTATGACTCACCCATACACAGAAAGCTCCACAGATTTCTGTATGATTAATTTATACAGAGAAAAAAGGTAATGAGCTAGAAGTAGTTACCTCGGGCAAGGGGGGCTGGGAAGCCCAACAGGGCTCCTACTTTTATTTTGCTGTACTGCTCACATTTTTTTAAAAAGACTTACTTATCTGAGAGAGAGAAAGAGCAAGAGAGCCTGCTTGAATGGGAGGAGGGGGAGAGGGAAAGAAAGATCTCCAGCAGATTTCCTGCTGAGCACATGTCTGGACTCCCATCTCATAACCCTGAGATCATGATCTGACCCGAAATCAAGAGTCAGATGCTGAACTGACTGAGCCACACGGGAGCCCCTGTTTTTTGTTTTTTAAATGAGCACTATGACTTGTACTGTATCATATCTCTGAGACACAGGATTTTTCATTTTAACATCTCTGAAATTAGCATGCTGGTTACATTCACTTCTGGAATTTTATCTGACCATCTCTCCATGTTTCTTGAAGCCAATGGGATCTTTGCTTTGATGAAACAGTACAAAGTTAAACACAAATTCTTCATTTGAAAAAGTGTATGGCAGAGAGTGTAAAATGGTGACAAAAGGTCTGGTCAGATCAGGGCTAAACAGACTAATTGTCTTAGTGGGTCTGTATCTTTTAGAGACACACACTGAAGTAGGTAGGGATGAAAAGACATGCTTGGAATTTGCTTCAGAACACTTCAGCAAAGAAGAAAAGGTGACTGATGATGGGAATGTACAAAAATCTTGAAACTATTCAATTTGGGTAGTGGGTATAATGGGGGGGAGGTCACTGGATTATTCTATTTTTATATATAATTTGAAAATGTGCATAATAAAAAGGCACAGAATTGCACAAGATGGTGAGCCCCAGAGGGGCGGGGAGCTGGCACTGTGTATGTATTTATGGGGTGCATGGGCGAGATGGATGTAGCAAGGAGAGGGCCCTGGTTGCCCTGGGCGAGAGCCCTGCCTGGTTGTGAGTACCAGTGAAAAGAGGGAAGGGAGGCAATTCCAGAAGGACAAGGCCGAGTCCCATGGACAGCGCAATGCCCGTCCTCCCTCTGCCTCTCCCAGATGAGGCTCCACCAAGCTAACATACTCCTCTGCTGAGACCCCACTCCATGTACCAGGGCCCCAGGAGGCAGCACGTACCCAGGATATGGGGCAGAGGGACTTGTACACACGCCGGTACCATTCGCACACAGAGACATCGCCCCCTTTAGCAGTCATTGCCTTCTCACAGCGGTGGAAGTCTGCAGAGAAAGCAAGTCAGGGTCAGCCAGGGCCAAGGGCCGAAACACATTTTTTGATCAAACTCACAGAAATCATCTTTACTTCTACAACCAGTTATATACACACATACACCTACAAAATAAGTGTCACAAGGAATGTCTATGCCTACATATGTACTGAAAAGGGCTGGACAGGCCTCCCTAAGTTGATTTTGCAACCCCTAGACAACTACTGTTTGACTTGAAAATTCTGCAGTCTGGAATGAGGGGGCAACAGGGGCACATGTGGGGATTATGGAAGTCCAAAACCAGGGCAAGGGAAGGGGAAGATATCTTGGGGCTAAAATGCTGGCATCCTGTAGAGGAGGACAGGAGGGAGATAATCTGATTTTTTAAAGTAGGCAATTAATTAAAAAAAAAAAATTACTCCAGGTATTCTACTCCTGGGCACATTCCCTACACAGAAAAGCATTCGCCTGGATGTCAGAGTACATTTATAAGAACATTTTTAGCATCCTCATTCATAAAAGCCCTAAACTGGAAAGCACACAAGTGTCTGGGAATAAATTATGGAAAACTATACGCACTGAAAATGAGCAAACTACACGCCATAGCAAGGATGAATCTTTCAAGCTGCTGAATGAAGAAATCCAAACAAAAGAGAATATATAAAGTATCTGTCAAGTTCATCAAGAGGCAAACCTAAAAGCAGTGATAAAACCAAAATGCGACTGCCTTCAGTTGGCAGGGTAACATCTCCAGTGCGGAGCGTATGATGTTGTGTTTAAGACAGGGCGTGCGGTAGGCAAGCAAGCTCTGAATGCTGAAAGGATCTAAATTTCTATCCAGGTTATAGTTACACATAGGGATCCACTTAAGTATTACTCATTTAGCTGTACTATGATTTATGTATTTCTTATACATATGTTAACATGTCTCATACACAAATAAATCTTAAAAACAAAAAAAAAAAATCGAAGGAACCGAAGTTTGTGACCCTGGCCCAGACCTTGGATCTTGAACACAGCTGTGAAGAGGGGCATGGATACTGCAAGGTAGGACGTCCAGACCAAGAGAGGCCTGGCATGTATAGATCCCCTAGACGAGTAGGCAACAGGTAAGCACCTTGAAATGTGGGACTAGGAAAAGTTTCTGCATCCCTTCCCAACCCCGCGCCCTGCTTACCCAGGTAGTTCTGCCAGCAGTTCCTGGTCTGGTTCTGGTTAGGGAAGCGGCTGTCAAAAGGGGCAGTCTGGTAGTTCTTGATTTTGGTCTTGATGTCTTCTGCCATGGTGCTGACTCTTGGAGGCAAAGAGAATGGATGCTGGCAAACATTCTAGGGGACCCAGGCATGGGGATGTCAGCCCACCCAGACACAGGAGAATGGAGTAGGTAGGTGTGAGCAAGCTACCTCTTTCTCCCTCTCAACATGTACACACAAAGGTGAAGTGTGGGGCAAATCCACACTTTGAAGTGTGGCAGGTACAGCAGGGCTTGGTGGAAGGGGGTAAGTATCTACTTAGCAAAATCAGGCCTTATTCATCCCAAAATAACACTAGCTAACATTCACTGAGGGCTTAGTCTGGGCCAAGCACTGGTCTACACTTTACTCCTGCAGGCACTCGAAAAGGTAGCAACTATTGCTATCACTGTTTCACAGACAAGGGAGAGGGTGTCTAAGTGACTTCCCAAGGTCATACAAGTGAAGGAGGGGCAGGAATCATTGACAGAACCTACACCACAGAGGTTCTTCATCTCTGTGGTGCCATCAACTCCTCAGGGGTCTAATGACCCTCCCTCAGAATATTTTCAAATGCATTAGAAAAACTGCAGAGGATCACAAAGAACACCAGTTGTATGTAGCTGAGGATTTACTGACTACCGCAATTCTGAAGTACCGTAAGTAGAAATGTATTCTGTGACATCTGCAACCTTAATGCGATATAAGACGACCTATGATTTTTTAAAAAGATTTTATTTATTTATTTGACAGAGATCACAAGTAGGCAAAGAGGCAGGTTGGCGGGGGTGCGGGAAGCAGGCTCCCTGCTGAGCAGAGAGCCTGATATGGGGCTGGATCCCAGGATCACGACCTGAGCTGAAGGCAGAGGCTTTAACCCACTGAGCCACCCGGGCGCCCCTGACCTGTGATTTTTGATTGCTGACAAAGTCACAGATGATGCTAATATTACTAAGGTCGTTGCCTCCATTTCTACCTGAAGGAAATGCTACATTTCAATTACAGATTAAGAAAAATACAAATCTAATTTTTCCCCCATTCAAGTCCTCGCACACCTTGCATTCTATTGATTTTGCAGACCCAGAGTTAAAAACCTCTGTTATAAAGTCTTTTAGGAGGTGACACGCAGCAGTTTTCGCCAGGGAATGTGAAACTGCCTCTATCCCAGAGGACTCGAAGAGTAACGGGGTTACAAAGAAGTGAGCAGGCCAGTGTTAAATTTAAGAGATCCAACATAGTGGCGGAGATATGGGGCACCACAGCGGAGTCTGTGGTGTGGAGTCTGTAGAGGGGCGTGGGGAGGGGGACCCAAAAGATTTGTTCGGAGTTGTTTAGGGGGGAGGGGGCTGGGAGGAAGAGTGGTTCAGGGAGGACTCTGAGGCCCCTCCAACGCCCAAGCGGGAAGGAGGACCAGAAACCAGGGAGCCAGGCTGCGGCCCGGGCAAGCCACGGGAGGCCAAGCCTGCGGCCTGGTGACTGAGGGTACTACAGCCCGAACTACTGAACACAAACCCTGAGCACTCGCTAAGTAGCTTAATACCGCGGAGCTTCAGTTGCTCCTCTGTCAAAAAGGGACCGTCGCAGGCCCTACCTCATAGGGCTGGAGGGAAGACCAAATGAATTAATAAAGTCACTTGAACTGTTACCTGGCATTAAGGAAGAGCTTCATAATCGTTAGCTAGAAGACTACTAACAGGACAGAACCCCAGGGACCGGGAAGGCCGAACGCCGCGGGCCAGAAACTCACTTCATTCTCGGGGAAACTACGGTCCGGTTCCTCAGTTCCCCAGGATAGGGTCCCAGCTTCCCAAGCCCTCAACACTTACCTAAACACACCACAGCAGCACCTCGCAGCTCAATGTGACCCTCAGCAAAGACGCCAGAGTCGGACCGGAAGCGGAATTAAGACCGGCCGGAAGCGGGTTGAGGCGGTGTAAACTCGAGTCTTCCGCGTGGGTAGAGCGCCCTCGGAGGCCGTCCGCGAAGCCATTAAGGCCACGCCCATCCGGGCGAATTCTGAACCCTTATTGGGCTGAATGCCTGTTCATTATCACTCTCGGCCCAATCGTGAACTTGCGTGGCACTTCGAAGGTCTCGGGTGGGGCTTGAGACTCCTGGTTACCGATTCTCATCACTTTAGGGTTTTTACGTGGGGGAAGGAGTTCTGGTTCTTGGGGCTAAATGCAGAGTGGGCCTGGGGAAAATATCCCAGCAGAAGTATCCTTATTCATGCAAGAATTACTTATTGAACGCTTACCATGTGCCACGTACTTCTGTAATTCCTGGGGAAGCGTCACTGAATAAAATACAAGAATCCTTACACTCTTTATGATTATTAGGGAATCAGTTGTTAGGGGTTTGAAATCGAACCAGTTGTTCTCCCACGGTCATTTGCCGCATTATGATGAATACCCAGATTCCACCTCCCTGTTCATTATCTTCTTTCCCCAAGCCTCAGAAGGCACAAATTAACACAGATTTGGGTTCCTGAGGACTCGAACCAAAGACCTGCATCACAGAGAGGAGAGGTTAAGAATAAAAGTTTGGGTCTGGCAGAAATTTGTCCATCTCAGAAAGTGACACATCTATGCTTCCGGTCACAGAGTTTGCTCTCTCATACCCCACAGCTGATCTATCAAAAAATCATGTTGGCTCTGTCTTAGCAATATATCCAGAATTTTCTCCGACATCTGGTTCAACCCACAGGCACCTCTAGCCTGGGCTATTGCAGTAGAGCACTCCCTAGCCTCCTGGTTTCCCCACTGCTCTCCACAATCGTCCACTCAGCCAGAGGGACCCTGTTAACACCTCAGTGAGATCACTTCCCTTTGGCCTAGAACCCTCTCCCTGGGTCTTGTCTGACTCAGTCAAAAGCCAAAGTCCTTACAAATGACCTGCACAGTTTGGGCTCTCTCTCTCACTCTCTTTTTAGATTTTATTTATTTATTTGACAGAGAGGGAGAGATCACAAGTAGGCAGAGCAGCAGGCAGAGAGAGGGAAAAGCAGGCTCCCCACCGAGCAGAGAACCTGGGCTCAATCCCAGGACCCTGAGATCATGACCTGAGCCCAAGGCAGGGGTCCAACCCACTGAGCCACCCAAGTGCCCCAGTTTGGCCTCTCTTATACCCTCATTTCCTATCCTTCTTCTCTTTACTCCCACTGCTCCAACCACATTGGCCTCATCCTCCTTAAACTTGCAGGCTGACTTTCCTTTAAGGGCCTTTGCACTTACTGTCCCCTTGGTCTGCAATGCTCTTTCTAAAGCTGGCTCCCTCCCTCACCTCCTTCAGGTCACCTCCTTGGTTAGTCCGTCCCAGACCAGATATTTAAAATGTGCATCTGGTCAGTCCATACGAGGACCATTCTTTAGGGGTTCAGTGGTTCCCAGAAAGCGGTAAGCTCTCCTTGGGGTCTAGACTGGAGTTCTATCTCCCTCAGCTTGGAGTGGGAAGATAGTAGGTAGTTTGGGGGATCAAACCCTAGGCCAAATTCCTTAATGGTCCCAAGCACTGAAAGGACGCACATAAACCGTTTTTGTTGTTGTTGTTGTTGTTTTGGAGTCTTGAGTGTTTTGGAGTCTTCAGGAGGGACACGGTAGGTAAACTCGAAAGTTAGTGATTGGGTTTGATTCCTTTGCAAGTCCCAGCACAGGCAGGCACACAGTAGGCCCTGTAGGGACTGAGATGATTCCTTTGAAAGTCCCATCACACAGTGACCACACAAGTAGGTCCCCTAAGGGTCTGGGTGTGTCTTCGGATCACACGGGGGGTGTGGTGTGTGTGTGATGTGAGTGTGGTGGTGCACATTTAGGGTCCCTAGTGGGTTTTGTCAGTATCCATGGGAAGAATGCAGGCAGCACTCACGACTAGTTTGATAGGATAGTTTTATTGGATCGTTTCTCCCGGTCCAAGCCGGGCGCAGTCCGGATAGGCCAGGCCGGGCACGCGGCCCCCGAAACGATACGTGTACTTGCGCCCACCGCTCTTGCGCACGATGTCCCGACGGTAGTAGTAGCGTAGACCTCGGCTCAGTTTCTCGTAGTTCATGCCCGGTTTCCTTTTGCGCTCACCCCACAGCCGCGCCACCTAGGACAGAGGCCGGGCTTAGTTTGAAAGGGCAGGAGGGGGTGGGGCTCGGCAACGGACGGGAGGGGCGGGGGGCGCGGTTTCGGGTAGGTTCTGGACGCGAGTTAGTCGCGGTAACTCCCGGCAGGGGGAGAGGAGTACGAGCTGGGGGCGGGGCAACTACTAGGCAAACAGAATGGCCCGGCCAAATTGAACGGGCGGAGACCGGGGCGGGACTTTGCGCGTCTGGGAGACTCCCCCACCTCTCTGGGGTCACACAGCTGGAACTCGCGGCTGTTGCCAGTCCAGCGGATGCAGTTGCTACGCTCGCCGTCTCGGAGCAGCTCCAGGAGGAACTGCCACAGCTGAATGGGACCTGCGGAGGGCAGGCCGGTGAACACTCAGGTTTCCTAGCCCCAGACCATGTCTCTTAAACGACCCAGCGGTCCGGCCTCCCTCGCTTCGAAGGTTCAAGGGCCCAGATCTTCCCAACTTGGGACCCAGAAGTCCAGATCCCCTCCATATAAGGAACCCAAGAGTCGGCCTCAGGGACCCACGCAGCCGGGGTCCCCATCTCGGGAACTTAGAGGAGACTGGCTGCCACACCTTGGTGACCCAGGCGTCTAGACCCTCACCTCTTTCCTCTCACCTAACCTAGGAACCTAGGTTCTAGTCTCTTGTTCCCTATTAGACTACCGTGTCTTAGTCCTCTCCCCACTCAGGACCCACGGTCTTAAGAGCCTCTCTCCTGCTCTGAGGTAAGTAAGCCCCACACCTTCACTCTCAGGTTCCGGTCCCGCCCCTGCGCGCCTACGTCCCGCCTCACTAGATTCCGGTCCTGCGGACCCTCTCACCTCGATGATTATTTTTGGGGTAACAAGCCAAGGTTACGCCGCCCGACTGCTGGCTTGGTTCGGAGGACGTGGTGAAATCTGAAGTCTGGTACCCTTTTGAAGTGGTCGTGCAGTCCGTATGCAGCCCCGAGACCCAGGAGGTGGTACAGTCTGAGCCCGCAGGCCCATCCCACGAAATGGTAGAGTCCGCGCTCGGCTCCCCGCGGAGGTCCTTGCCCCAGTAGGTAGGGCGGTCGAGGCCAATAGAACAGTCCCAGTTGGTGGAGCTGGCGGCAGCCTGGGCGCTGGGCCATGAGCTGGTCCCTCCCCCGTAGGTGGTACGGTTCTGGCCTGCAGCCCCCTCCACACCAGCGAAGGGGGCGGGGCTCAGGCCGGGAGGGGCGGGGCCCAGGGCCTGGGAGACGTCCCTCCAAGGGTCGGAGCTACTGCAAGCCAAGTCCGTCCAGTCTCCCGACCACGGAAGAGCCTGAGGGGCGGGCTCTGTGAGAAGTAAGAGACCCCCTGTGAGGGGTGCCCAGGTGTCCCGGTTCCCGGTCCCCTCAGGGGTTCTTGGAGTCTAAGCTCTCAGCCCTGGCGCCCTGGGCTCTCGGATCTAGGCTATGCCATCTCGAGGGCAGAGGGATTCCCGTCTTAGCCCTGTTCCCCTTAAAGATCAAGGAGTTTAAACCTCTAGCTACGGTGGAGGACCCCAGTTCCCTCCTTACCCCGCCTCTGCACGCATACTCACCCGCTCCCCATGGAGCTTCTGGGTGCGGTAACGCGGAGCCCCAGTCCGGCTGTGGGAGCCCTGCGATGGGTAATGAAGGGACAGAGTTTAGGGAAGGGTGTGAGCAATGACTAGAGACGCCCCCTCGACCCCAGCAGTCTTTATTTGTCAGGGGCTGAGTTTTTCCCCTTAGTCCCTACACACTCAAACCTAGAAGGCCTCGTCCTCTTTCAGCCTCAGGACTCAGCCGCCAGCCCTCTCCCCATTCAGCCTCAGGAGTCCAGGCACGCCCCCTTCCTCCCTCAGGCCCTGGAGCCCAGCCTCTCACCTTCCTCAGCTCCCTGGAGTCCCAGCCCACAGCCACCTTTCCAGCGTGCCTCCGCTGTCAGCGTGTCCCCTGGGAGCGCCAGTTCGGGGAAATAAAAGCCGAGTTCAACTCCTTCTGCATGCAATGAGGCGGTTAGGGCCAGGTCGGGGTCAGTGGAGGCCCCCACCTGTGCACCCTTCCCACACAGGGACTCAGCCCCCCAGCCTACCCAGCCCTGACAGTCTATTTCCTGGGGGCACTTCCTGTGGAGGCGCTTCAGACCAGTTCCAGAGGTCCATGGATGCTCCTTGTGAATATTCTGGGCAGAGAGGAAAAAGGGGGCAAAGGTTGAGCTGGGGATACTTAGGGACCCTGGAGTCTGGGCCCCAACCCTTGCTTCCCTCAGACCCAAGAGTCCAGGCCTTTTGCTCCCTTCTTCCCCAGGACCCTGGAATCTTGGCCTCCCGTGTCTTTTTCAGACTAGGAGTAAGAGACCTCAGCCCTCTCCTTCCTCTGACCCAGGAGTCCGGGCCCCCAGACCTCCAGTCCCCAGTTCTTGGCTCACCTCTGGCGGGTTTCTCTGTCCCCGGCCAGGGGTCTCAGCCCCATTTCATACCATGGACCCCCTCCCCTGGGGAGCCTGGGCAGGGGGGAATTTTCCGAGACGTCAGAGCCGGGGGTCGCAGCCGGGTCGAGTTGCAGGGCCGGGGGGCGGGGCCAAGCCCCCCCACCCCCCCGCCCCGCACACACCTCAGGGGTGGCCGCCTGCCTCCTGATAGCTACAGCTGTCGGGCCGCAGGGGTGGCTTAGACTTGGACAGGAGTTTGGGGAACAGCGGGCTGGGAGAGACCCGGGGTCGGGAGCTGTGTTTACGGGGTGATGGGGATCGAGCGTGGCGGGGGGAGGGGTTGGTGGACAGGTTTTCCGTCTTGGGGACTTGATCCTGCGACATG